GAGTTTTTCCGGGGGATCAACACAAAAAAAAAAAAACAAAAACATAGAGAAGGGAGGAAAAAAAATGGGAAAAGGGGAGGGAAAAATTGTGAGTGGGAGTGGCATACAAAGAATGCAAATTGCCGGGGCTATTCCAAAATGCAAGCATCAACGCCTTCGAATGCAGCGAAAGCAGGCGGAAGTAAATGCAGCAGCAGCATCTCTCCTACTTCCCCTGTTTTCCCCATACGTTTTCCGCCATTTTTTTTTTTGCGCACTATTTTCTCACCTGCCTGGCGCACTCGACAAACGACACTCGAGTGGTCAGGTGTTAACAGGTAGGAACACCATATACTTGAGCCTAGCTGCTGCCTGCCTGCCATAAGATCTATTCCCGTCTCTTAGACTTTGCTTCAAGTGTTTTAGTTGGGCTAATTAAAAAATGTCATAGGAAAAGGTAAAAAATGAAAAGAAAATATTGTGGGATATAAAAAAATATTACATTTCATATATAGAGTTGAAGATTTAGAAGGAAAATTCTAAGAGATTTTATAAAAATTATAAAGTAAATTAAGGTCTTAGCCTGCTTAGCTCTTTGAGTTGATTTTAAGTTATATATATGTGCTATATAAAACCCTTATTATATATATTATATAACACCCATATTATATATTTTATAAAACACTTTTAACCTTTAAGTAATAGTTGCCTTTTTTTTGCTTGACGGAATTAAAACTTGCTGCTTTTTGCGGTGGCAAAGTTTTCTCTATGTTCTGTGTTCGCTTGGTTTTACTGTCGATTCAACAAGTTAAAATACCAAACCGCAGACAGTAAGTTCTATATATATAAATATATAGAAATACAAACTGATACATATAACTATATATGTATATAGTCAGAGAGACTCATTAAGCCGCAGCAAATAAAGTTGCGGGTAAAATACATTTCCTATAAATTAAATGCACACACATAGGGAATCAGTGTAAACTTTATCCTGCGCAGTATTTACAACTGCAAAATATAATAATAATAATTAGCTGTAGGAAAATAGTTTAAAATAAAAGGGAGGTTTAAATTTATAATCAGCTTTTAAAAGAGAAACAAATTAAATGCGAAAAAAAGTAATAACTTGAAATTTTCCCTTAAATCTACTTATAGTTTAGACATCTCTTTAATTAGGTTATAAATTTTATAATAAAATAAATTAAATATGTTGCTGCTTAGGGAAATATAAATCACAAAATAAGGATGAGCCTTTACTACCCCATCTTTTCTGCTCACATGAAGCTATCAATTCTGTAAAGTCACAGAACAGACGCTGAGATTAATTGACTTGGATAAATTCCGCTGGGCTAATACGTCTTTGGGAATTAACCCACGATAGATGAGTAGGGATCCAGTACTCACACACACACACTTGGGTTTAGGATAAATTAAGTTGAGTATATAAGTGGGGAGCATTTGTTTCACTTAAATTTCCTTAAAGCCAAATTAATTTCAGTTAGCCAGCTTATACTTATATATTGATTTGATTTTATTTTTAAGTTTCTTATTTTCTGCATTCAGCTAACCGGCACGAATGGGTTAAGCTGACCGTGACTGCATGACTGTGGGTCATTTCTCATGACAGCACCGAGTGTGGCTGCCGGCTGTTGGGTTAATGATGCAGAAGAATATTGCCCTTGACGCGGCACAACTTTTGCAGCAAAATCCGAGGAGGGGGGTGGGAAGACAGAGGGTTAGGTTAAGGCCAATGAGATGGATGGATTCTGGTTTTTGGCCCAAAAGTTAGAAAAGGGAAGGACAGTTTGGCTAAATACTCGCCATGATGCTGCATTTATGGAATGTCTTTACGCTTGTATCTCTATCTATGGCAAATAATTGCCAGTTCCTGACTGCTCAACATAAAACGAAAATCGCAGCATACCTATTGGGGCAGCAACAAAGGGAAAAATCTCCTTAGAATAGGGACAGTCAAAGGCAGGGTAGTAGTTGAGCAAAAAATATGTATTATATAAAATAAAAATTAGAATTTATTTTTAAATTTATATTTAAGTGTAAGGATTGTCAAAAGGTTTTGTTTTGTGAATTAAAAACACTAATAAATGCATCTAAACATTCGCAATATTAAAAGAAAAATTGTTATTAAGTTTCTTAATTCCTTCATTTTATTTAAATCCTTAGTCGACTTGTAGAATAATATATATAATCTAAACTTTAAATGTATTCTGTAATCTGTAAATCTGTAAATCTTTTTAAGGCATCAAAATTTATCCAATAAACCTTTAAAGCCTTCTTATAGACTTTAAAAAACTTTTCTTCATCTCGAAAAACCTATCTATTTAATTATTAAATAAAAAACTAAGCAACTATTATGTTGAACATGACTGTGGCCTTATATGTATGTGCATATATGTATGCTACACACACGCATTTGGCAAAAGGAATAGAGATGTGTATGCGTGTGCTTGGTAAAAATAAACAATAGTAAAACTGATTAAGTCGGGGGAAAACCACATCAAGCTAAACGATGATGAAGAAAAGACCAAAAGATTACGAACGTTGAACGTTGAACGCCGAGCACAAAAGGGAGCGACTACAGAGAGAGACAAATGCTGAAAAAGGGGGAAAATCGAGGGAAAATCTAAGAGAGAAGAAGGAGAGAAGGGGGCCTTAGGCTTTTGTGGGGAAAGGGGAATGTTAACTTGATGCGGGCCAAGGATACACAAGCACACATGGTCACTGGAGATGAAAACGAGGTCCAAGGAATAAAAGAATACAACAAAAAAACACATATATACACATATAGTCCGAAAGCATATCGAATAATTGAAAGGATATATACGAGTATATACATATGTATGTATATATATATATATATATATACATACATATGTATATACTCGTATATATATATATATATATAGAGAGAGAGAGAGAGAGAGTGGGAAACAGGGGGACAATTTGTAAGATATGATAGTAATGCTCTACAGCTTTTCTGCCTCTACTCCCTCCCCTCAAACCCGGCTTTGCTTTTCGTTTTATTTCATTTTTCCTCCTTTTTGTGTTACGCCACCAACAATGACAGCAAAATTAGTCATTGTCCTCGGCTCCCAGGCTTCCCAGCTATCCTAGCTCCCTGCTCCTGTCATTTGCATATATGTGAGGGCCTTCCTAGTCCTGACAATTATGTACAATTTACTTTGCATAACACTCGAAAGCAGAGGTTTAAAAGATGCCTTCTCTGCCTCCCTTTGCTACTCCCTTTCAAATAGAGGGACAAGGACCTGACCAAAGCCAACTAGTTAGCATATTTGTTGTTCCACAGTTCATCCCCAAAACCCAGGAATTCTCACAGGACAAAACAAAAAGAAAAACAAAATACGGAAAATAGAAAACAAAAATGAAAAACAAAAAACAAAGAGGGTGAAAATAAAAAGGTAACTCAACAATCAACAAACACAAGTAAAAAGTTTTCGAGTACCACATGAAGGCAACAATTTTTAGACACCACACGCATAAATCTCAGACGAAACCAAAAAATTTCCACATCCACATTTTCCACATCTCGAGATATAAAATATTCAAGAGGAATTCTCTGTGTGTTATAATAGTTAGTTTGTGACCTTACTAGTACTCTTTGGACACCACACCATCACGTGTGCGATTGTGTTGTTGAGTGGTTTTTGAGCTGCAAAAAGTTAGTTGGGAATTATTAGCCTGAGCTAAATAGAGAGTGAGATAGCGCTAGCTTATGTGTGATAGAGCGAGAGAGAGAGATCAAAAGAGGTGGGTGGTTGTGGTATGTGGTGAAAGATCGAAAGTGGATGTGCCTTTTTTAAAAAAACAAAAGAAAATACAAGTGCAAGGTGGTGAAAATGTACTATAAGAGAGGAATTTTCTTTCAAATTCTTCTTTATAATTATGTATATTTATTTAAGGTGAGGTGTGAAAAAGAGATAGAGAGAGATTTCTGGTGAGGAACTATGGTGAAAAGTGTGTGCAAGGCTTTGCTGCCGCTTGTTGGTGAACTCTGGTGTGCTGCTTTATGTTGGAGAACTGTGGTGAAGTCATTATCATTGATCCAAGAGCTATGAAGCTGTGAGCTATGAACATTTAGTGACTTTTAAGTGATTTTACGTGACTTTGAGTGACTTTTAGACGACTTCTTTAAATATTTATTTGATTTAAAGATAACCTGGAGTGACTTTGAATGGCTTTTAGCTGACTAAAGATGAGTTTTGTGTGAGTTTGGATTATTTAAGCAGACTTCAAGGAGACTTTGAGTTATTTAAGGTGACTTTTAGGTAGCTTGTAGTTCATTTTAGGGTGACTTTAAGTGACTTTGTTTGACTTAAGCTGATTTTGAGTGAAATGTAGGTGACTTTCAGGTGACTTTAAGGCGACTAAGTGATTTTCAGTGGATTTTCGGTGACTTTTAGGCCACTTTAAGGGATGAAATAAAAAAATTAAGTGACAGGCACAGGTGAGAGCACAAAAATAATAATCAAAACCGAAGCTGAAAATGTTTTAAATATGTTTAAAATGCTGTGCAAATTCTTTTGGGCAATGTATACGAGTATTTCTCATTTCTTTTCTATATTTATATTTTTTTGTGTCGGTTTTTGCTTCTTGTTGGTTCAATTTTGGTTTTCTTAGGTTTTCTTGACAGTTTTTCTCATTCTTTGTTTAAGTTTATTACAGTTGTTTGGCTTATGGTTTTGGTAGTTTTAGACTTTTTTTGCTAACCTTGTGTGGGGTGTTTCGCATTGGGCAAAAATTTTGTGATTTTGGTTGCATTTGATTCGATTTCGATTTTCTTTTTTGCTGAAGTGAATTTATAAACTGATTTGTTTTTTGTATTTTTTGTTTCTTTGATTGATTTTGGCTTAGATTTAGTTGGACTTTTGATTGGCTTTGATTTCGATTTAGTAGATTTTTGATTTTTTGTCTTTTGTATATATATATTTTTATCGATTGAAGTGCAATGGTGAGGGCTGGTCTTTGTACAGGTATGATGATCTGATATCGAATTGAGTATGACGATTGATCTGAATAGCGGTGATTTAGATCTGATTTAGAACTTCTCGGATATGCTATAGATGCGCTTAACGCTCACGCACTTGCGTCGCAGACGTTCGCACTCGATTTCCCTGAAGTCGGCGTGCGAATTGTGACCCGATATTCCGTTGTAATCCTGTCCAGCAATATCGTCAATGGCGATGTGATGGATGCGCGGCAATTGTCGGGCAGCGGCACAAATATCCGGCTCACTGGTGGCACCACCCACGTATGAGATGTGCTGATCCTCCACTAGTTTCTGCTGCTGCTGCTCCTCCTCGTCCTCGTCCTCTTCCTCCTCGTCGTTGTCGTTGTCCTGCTCCTCCTCGTCCTGCTCTTGGCTATCAACTAGATCCTCTAGCGTCTCTGCCAAATACTGAATATGCTCCTCTTCACACTGCGGACACTGATCCTCCTCGGGATCGTCTTCCTCGGGGAATTGAGAGTTCTGACTGTGATTGTTATTACTCTGACTGATGATGGCCCGCTTGAGTTCGATGAAGAGCGGTGATGAGGATTGTAGCTGCTGTTGCTGCAGATGATGATGGGGATGATGAGCCGCTGTTGTTGTCACTCCCGCTGCTACCTGACCCTGACCGGGATCGAAGAGACTGGGTGGAACTTCACCAGCGGGCAAGGGTTGACTGGTTATCACCGCTGCTGTTCCAAGGACACTGTGACCTGCACCGGCTCCCGCCTCGGGATGGATGCGATTATCCGAGTTGGTGGACGAGAATTTGGAGAGTAAAGATCGTGAGCTGACCTTATTCTTTAGTTGCTGTTGCTGCAGATAATAATAGTCACGGGGCAGGGATGAGGTGGCATGTAAAGGATCCTCGGGATCGTAATAGCCCAGGGCAGCGGGACGGAATAGCCCTGGGGTGCTTAGGGAGTGTAGGGCTTGCTGATTCGATTGGGATTGGGACTGCGATTGGGTCTGGGATTGTGATTCCTGATCATACGAATCACTAATCACACTCGCCGTCGAGGCTGTGGGCGTGGTCGTACTGCCTAGGGTGGATTGGGAACCACCGGCAGACGATCCAGCTGCTGCGGCAGCTGCGGCTGCGGCGGCGGCGGCAAACTGAGCGCCCAAAAGTGGCGTCAGGCCGGCAAGGAACTGTTCCTGCTGCTGCTGCTGACGCTGTTCGTCCAACTCGCGGCGATAGGCTTCAATTTGATCACTTGGCGATGGTGTGTTACTGTGTATGCAGCCCTGAAAGAAATCCAATGCCTCGTACAGGATGAAACACAGGCCCAGGACGAGGAATGTCTCCATCATAAGCAGCTGCTAGCCATTTGAATTTCTGCCGAGCGAAACGGTAACGTGAAACGGAAACGAAACGGAAGCGAAACGAAACGGAGCGGAACGGAAAGCGCACGCGTATATCCGAAATGAAACGCAACGAAACGATTTGAATTCTTCTTCTCCTTTTGTTTCTTTCTTCTCTTTTTATATAAATTTCAATTTCGTCTCTTGGTTTTGACTTTATTTTCAACACTTTGGCACTTCATTTTCCTTCATTTGTGTGGGGTTTTCTCTTAGGTTTTTTGTTTTTATGTTGTTTTTTTCTTTTTTGGTTTTCCGTTTTATCCTTGGCTGAAATTGAAACTGAAGCGTTTTCCCTTTTGTTATTCAATGCAAATTAATTTCGAATTTGTTTGTCGTTTTGTCATTATCTTTAGCTCGCCTTCGTCTTTTACACTTCGATTTTTTTGCCTTTTTTGTGTGCGCACTTTTCATTTGCATAAATTAAGTGTGAACGCTACATATTAATATATACTATATATTCTCGCTGGAAGCTTTTGTGCGTAACGGAACGGAACGGCATAAAACGGAACACCTACATATTGACACATACACATACCAGTACATTTATATATATATATATATATACAAAATGATATATAGAGAGATATAGAGAATTATTTACATTAGAGATCTGGCGAGCAGAGCAAAAGCAGAGAGATTAGTACACAAAAGTTCAAGCTTTCATTTGTTTAAATTTTATTATTGTGCTGTTTTTGCGAGTGTGTGTGTTTATGTGTATTTTTGGAAAAAGTTTGCAATGGCTTCTTTTTAAGAAGTTTCATAGAAAAAGAAACATAAAACCCAGACTCAAGGGAGTGACTTAAAGCCATAGAAACAACTCGTAAGACTTGGTGGAACTTTAAAAACAACTGATTGGCGAAATCGTCAAAGATTCTCCTTAAAGAAATCCCTTCTAAATATAAATTGAAAGGTTAAAAGTATTTTTTAAATATTTGAGAACAAATTATTTTATAACTATTCTAAATTACCAAAGATACCTATAAATTAAAAGTTTCTTTCTTTTAAATGAAAGTTATCAGTTAAGAAACTATGTTATGTCCTTGTAAAGAATATATCTATCCATTTTATTATTACTACTTTTCCACTGAATTATTTCACTAAATAATCTATTTTCTTTGTTTTAAATTGTAACTATTATTTAGAAATAGAAACTACTGCTGCATATTCAAATAACAAAAGGTTAAGAAACCCAAAACGTTTGCCTTGTGCCTGGTGCATATTCTGAATTATTGAGAATTACTCAAGCACTCAATTGAATCGATAAGTTACCCATAAGAGCCTATTCAAAAATGTCTGTCTGCCGGCAATTGTGTATATAGAGGTTCATAAATGTGAAATATTTCACAGAGCACATAAACAGAGAGAATACAGAGAGAGAGATATTCAATTCAACTCAACTCAACTCATGCCTTATTCATGGCTAAATTGAAGTTTGGAGTAAGGATGAAATATGCTTGTTTATGCATTGAACATTCCTTCTACTCCTCTGGCTGCTGTTTGCATTCGAGTTTGTGTTGCACTTTTTATGGTCAAAAAAAGAGCTCACAGAGACCTTTTATTTGTCGTTTATTCTAACGATTACTGCTTTGGATTTTGTTATTTTAATATTTGATAAATATTTGTTTGTCCATCTTAGTAACCTCTGCTTTGTTTGTATAAGAGTCAACATCATTTAAGTCATTGATTTCAGTAGACATTCTGATAAAGTAAGTCCAGGCAATTGTTCAACAATATTTCGGCTGCAAAAGTATATAAACTTTAATTTTAGTAATAAAAAAGAATAATAAGGCCCATCCCTTAGCTACGAAACGCGACCTCCTGATAACTACAAATATGGCAACAGATCGTGACCAAGAACAGGACTTGCAGAATATTCTGAATCCGTCAAACCAAGATGATAACCAGGCACAGGATAGTCTGGAACAAAAGACTATCAACACTGGGACAGAGCTACTAGGCCACAGCCTGCCGACAAGTAAGTTTATCTCCTTGTCCATGTCCTTGAATACTAGTTAACTTTGAAGCCTGATCCAGAGAATCTTTTTAACGCTTTATCTTTTTTTCTTAGATCAAGGCAACACTGAACAGCCAGAGACATCACTATCACCTAGTCAAGACAATGCCACATCCTCAACTTTACGGCCAAGGAAACACACTCATCGACAAACAATTGATGTCAAGCCGTTTCCAAACCGAATCGAAGGTTCTAAAATACCTGACTTTGACAAGACCCCTCAACATTTCCTTGACCATGGAGAATGCGATATTAAGAATCGCATTAATCAGACAATAGATAAGTCGATAAATCAGAATCTTACTCAATTGCATTCAGAAATTGGCTTAAAAGTGGAGCCGGAACAGGTCAAGACGATGCCACAGGACTATAAATCGATTTATATTAACTCACCTAGTAAGCTACCTGTATGGAACATGTCTCGTTACCGGGAATGTTATCCTAAGCAGGGTGAGGACTTTGGAATCACTAAAACGACCAGGTCTACGGAACAGATCAACATCAAGGCGGCTAAGCCCATTCTGCTGCCAGGAGATCCACCAATATCGTTCTTTGGCAAGACTTTATCCCCAATACCTGAGGAGATGTATAAATATCCTGACATTTCAACAGAGCACAAGGACGAGTCAAACCCTATACCCAAAAATGAGGAAGAGCCAGAGAAGTAGGTTTTTCTACCAGGAGGAGGAAGACAAATCGAATCCATGTATGGTTTATTTAAGAATTTGGTTAAATATGTTAAATTAATGAATTTTTTAATTGGATTGGAAAGGGTGTTTAATAAAATATCAATATAATAATTAAAGATCCGATTTTTATAGTTTATTTTGGTGTTTAGAGGTTTTATTAGAAAAATTAATGGTTTATGTCATTGATTCTTTAGGGATAAGACCCTTTTTATAACTTCACTTTCTCCAGCTGGATTTCTGTACTATATTTTCAATATTATATTAAAACTCATATTTTTCGGTATCGGAATTCCCCTTTCCATAGACGTCTCTAACCTGCATTCAACATTTTCTCTTTGCCCTGTTCCATATCTGCAATTGAAATATTTCAAAATAATTCCCATATTTATTAAGCTGACAGCCATAAAAATTGAATGAACCCTTTAACTGCAAAATGCAAACAACTTCATTGTTGCCACCATCAAATGCAAATAAAACCATGTTTTGGTTAAAGTTTCAATTGAACAGAGTTTAACATGCCATCGATAAATATTTACCATCATTTAACTGACATCAAAGTCATCATAATCATAAAAATAATCGAGAGAGTGAGAAGCAAAAAAAGGAGTAAGAGTAATAATCATAAAAGCATTTTCGTGTGATTTCAACCCCCGTTCTTTAGTTGGTTTTCCAGTGCAGAGCAATGACGCGGAAAAGGGCCAAAAACTGGAGTCAGGGTCGAGATCATGTTTTTTTTTTTGGGGTACTTTTTTTGGTTCAACCCCATCTCGATATCCGTGGCCAATCCCCAAGTTCCTGGTTTTTCTGGCCATCTCCCATCAAAATGCACAACGTGTCGTTATTTATGCCCAACCCCTATCGCCATTCGGAAATCCCCTTTCTAACCACTTTGGCTTAACCCTTGGCATGACAAAGCGTCGTCCTTGGTATCCCAAATGGACCCCCGAAAAGCGGAAGAGGACAAAACACAGGAGAATGCATAAGCCGCGAAACGAATTGAGGAGGCCACTGGATGGAATACCCCAAAAAAAAGGAGTTTATTTGGTAAAAACACAGCACGGAAAACAAACAAGGAAAAGAAAATCCTAAATGGGCTTATATTAGCAAGCTTAAATCCTTATTTTTTGAGCGGGTTTATTTTTGAAGAATTACTTTTGCAAAAATTATATCCAAGCCTTGACTTGAAATATGTTAATTTTCTATTATATAAAAGCAAAACAAGTCTCAAAAATATGCTTTAAAATATAGATCAAATTATTTTAATATATATTTTATATAAAGCAGTTTCGATCATCACGGCTCTTAAAGAGAGCTCGGAAAACGTCTCGAGATCAAAGAGCAATAAGGTAGTCAACACAGCCAAGGGTTATATAGTAATTAAATAATAATTTAATATAAACCATATTTCCATGTATCTTGACTTTTGTGGGCCTTATTTTGGTTTCAACTATCAAAAGATATTTTATTAACACGTATTACCTTAATTAAGAATACTATAATTTGTATGGCTGCCACCTCCATTTGATTAAAGTCTATCAACCACCAAGCACTAGATTAGTAATTTATATAAAAAACACACAAAAAGAAGAAGAAAACTAAACTTCCTCAAGCTAGGGCCTTGCTTACGTATAAGACTTGAGAATCGCAGAGGAGAGCGCTCTAGATACCAAATCGCCCTTCTATGCGATTCTCATATTTTCATGTATCTTGGCTTTTGTGGGCCTTGTTTTGGTTTCAATTATCAGGAGATATTTTATTAACGTCTTACCTTAATTAATAAAACTAAAATATGTATGGCTGCATACATCCACTTGGCCAAATTCTATCATCACCAAGCACTCGATTTGCAATTTATATATAACACACAAAAACAGAAGAAGAAGAAAACTAAACTTCCTCTAGCTAGGGCCTTGCTTACGTGTAAGACTTGAGAAGCGCAGAGGACGGCGCTCTAGGTACCAAAGCGCCCTTCTATGCGATTCTCAAATTTTCATGTATCTTGGCTCTTGTGGGCCTTGTTTTGGTTTCAATTATCAAGAGATATTTTATTAACGTCTTACCTTAATAAAGAAAACTAAAATTTGTATGGCTGCATACATCCACTTGACCAAAGTCTATCATCACCAAGCACTTGATTAGCAATTTATGTAAAACACACAAAAACAGAAGAAGAAGAAAACTAAACTTCCTCTAGCTAGGGCCTTGCTTACGTGGAAGACTTGAGAAGCGCAGAGGAGGGCGCTCTAGGTACCAAAGCGCCCTTCTATGCGATTCTCATACCTTATACTTAAGCAAAGCCAATTTTGGCAATTTTCATGTTACGTGGCCCATCATATGTGCAAAGTGTGAGAATCGCAGAGGAAGGCGTTTAGGACTGACGATATTAGAATCGCTTTGGAAATGGATTTTACCAAAATCTTTTACATACTCTAGCCCTAAGAGTTCAGAAATAAAATACATATCTTTAAATTCATTTTTACAAGCCAAATATAATATTTTAAACTATTTTTATTGGAAATAAAATAAAATACTTGAGATAATTTCCCTAAGAAATAAGTTAGATAATTATTTTAATTTTTCAATAACTGCCTTTCCCCCGAAAACTACTCAAAGTAAGCAATCATATCCTCGAAAGTTTTCGCCGTACACCACGTTGACAAATTAAAAGCTCATCACTTATCATTAAATCAAGGCTAATGAATACACACACAGCCAATAAATAAGGCAAAGCTTATGCAGCACTCAAACTGAAATTAATTCGAAATTTGTTGCCTCCGCTTGAGACTCAATTTGCTGCTGCCGGGAAAGTTCTCTCTCTTTTTGGACCGATTTGTTTTGATTTCTGATCTGTCGTGGCAGAGCACAGGGCACGGAGACCCAGAGGCTGAGGCACTCTCTAATTAAATTTTTAATGTGTGCGTGTGGAAAACGAGTGAGTTGGGGGTTGGGAAAAACTTTTCCGGCTGCTGCTGCTACTGCTGCTTCTGAAAACTTCAAACAAATTCCAAGTAATTGCACATTGAAATTGACAGAGACAGGAACAGAGACAAGGACAGGGAAAGAGACAGAGAGAAAGAGTGAGAGAGAGAAAAAAAGAGTAAGACAGGGCAACAACTGCAGTCTGTGTGGGCCAAGTTAAGGGCACATTGTTATGCCCACGTTCAACTTTACATGGCCCATAGTCTGTATAAAGTTAGTAACAAACAACAACAAGATGCTAACGAGGGAGAAACACAGCTACACTGATCAAAAAAAATATTTAAAAACTTAAGAAAATATTTAAATAATCAAAGATTTCCATGACAAATTTATTTATATTTTTTCGTAAAGATCAAATTTTCAATATTTCTTTAAATTGTATTAATTGTTCCGTAACTTTTTAAAGCTTGGATTAATTTGTACTATTTAGAATATTTAAACCAAGCATTTTCAAGCATTTAATATTTATTATTTTTTATTTTATTTATTTAATATTTAATATTTCTTAATATATTCCAATATTTTTCATAAAATGCAAAAACACGCAAGTTTACAGTGTAAAAATTGTGTCTGAGCAAGATAGAACGGCTCTAAGAGAAAGAGAGAGAAAGCCAAAGAAAGAAAAGAGTTAGATAGAGAAAGAAAGAGGGAGAGAGTGATGCCTGAACGAGTGCAGCTTAAAATTGTTATCAACAATTTAATCATTGAAAACCATTAAAAAGCAAACAACAAGAAATTTCTTTACGTCTTTTCTTTCACTCTTTTCCTCTCTATTTGTCTCCCTCTCTCTCTCAGATTTTTCCCCCCTCAGTTTTTCCGCCTGTTTTTCTGCCTTTTGCCTTATTTTTTTTTGCTGCCGGTTTAATTGCTATACACAATGCAGCTGTGATTATGGTCACCAGAAGTGAAGAATGAGTGAGTGAGTTGCCGCGGGCACCAGGCACAGCAAGACACGAGAAACGTTAATTTCATTTCGCTATATATACATATATATAAAAATAAATATATATTGTACGTATATATAATGAAATTCCTTAGTTGCTTAGTTGCAACTTCCCTTTTCCACAGACTTTAATTAGAAACAAAGAAAAAAACAAAGGGTAAACGGTGTCTCGCTGACACACAGCATCTGCGTCAGTCATTTGTTTTCATCACCCTTGGAAACGGTCACACATATCGGTTTTATATGTAAAGGATACTGAGGAAAAACAATAACAAACAAGACCAAATGAAAATGCGAAAAATGCTTGCAATACACACAAGGAAAGTCACCAACAGAGACAAATGATTTGGAAAATTACAAATACCAATTGTTAGTTGTTTCATCAACTTGAGTGGATTTATATTTAGAGAAAAGCTTAAGAATAATACTTTTTGAATTGTATATCTCTATTTAAATTATTAGATTATATTCAAAGCATAACAATGAAACTTATTTTCTTGAAATTCCTAACCAGTTTCTTCATGCATGAAAAGTTTTTCACCAACACTCCAATATTCCAATACCTCAATAAGTTTATTATTTGTTACCCAAAACTTAATATTTTATTTCTTAAGAATTCCAATTAATTAAATTCCCATAGTTAGAATTTTTGCTAAACTGAAGGTTATATGAATATATATTACATATATTTATATATATACTATATATACAAACAGCAGTGTGTCACTTGCTGGAATTTAGCTGCAGCAGTTTTCTTGGCTACTGCTATTGCCGTTGTTGACTATTCTGGCTATGGGGGGAAAAGAGGAAAAGCGGTGGAAAATGGTTGAGCTAGCAGCAAAAGTAAACCAACATAAGTGTTGCGTCGTTCGTTCGTTTTATTGTTGTGGCAGCAGGCAAACCCCGGATGCTGGTTGCAGGATGCATGGACATCTGGACACATGGACATATGGACATACAATGCTCGGAGGAAGCTCGCCAGCTCGGACCTCAGCAGGTCATGTTAACTAACCTCTTTTTTGGGTACCAACTCTGCACTGGCATCCCTTAACCCAGAAAGGCCCCATTTGTCCTTGCCTGCAGCATAAATTTTTAAAACGCTTGGCACTGCGGCTTGTCAACTGCAGCAACCTTGCCCTTG